TTTTGGAAAACTTTAAGGAGAATGGGTATTATGTCCTCTCTATATGTCTGATAAAATTCAGCAGTAAATCCATCTGGCCTGGGGTTTTGTTCTTCGGTAGTTTTTTGATTACCGATTCAATTTCTTTGCTGGTAATTGGTCTGTTTAGGTTTTCTGTTTTTTCCTTAGTCAGTCTTGGAAGGTTGTATTTTTCCAGGAAGTTGTCCATTTCTTCCAGGTTTTGCAGCTTATTAGCATATAGATTTTTGTAGTATTCCCTAATAATTTTTGTATTTCTGTGGGGTCTGTCATGATTTTTCCTTTCTCATTTCTAATTCTGTTGATGTGTGTATATTCTCTTTTTCTCTTAATAAGTCTGGCTAGGTGCTTATCTATTTTTTGTATTTTTTCAAAGAACCAGGTCTTGGTTTCATTGATTTTTTCTATTGTTTTATTCTTCTCAATTTTATTTATTTCTTCTCTGATCTTTATTATGTCCCTTCTTCTGCTGACTTTGGGCCTCATTTTTTCTTCTTTTTCCAGTTTCAATAATTGTGACTTTAGACTATTCATTTGGGGATCTTCTTCCTTCTTTAGATAGGCCTGTGTTGCTATATACTTTTCTCTTAGAACTGCTTTTACTGTGTCCCACAGAAGTTGGGGCTTTATGATATCAGTGTCAATAGTCTCCATATATTGCTTGATCTCTGTTTTAATTTGGTCATTGATCCATTGATTATTTAGGAGGATGTTGTTCAGCCTCCATATGTTTGTGAGCCGTTTTGTTTTCTTTGTACAATTTATTTCTAGTTTTATGCCTTTTTGGTCAGAGAGGTTGGTTGGTAGAATTTCAATATTTTTGAGTTCACTGAAGCTTTTTTTGTGGCCTTGTATGTGGTCTATTTTGAAGAATGTTCCATGTGCACTTGAGAAGAATGTGTATCCTGCTGCTTTTAGTTGTAGAGTTCTGTAGATGTCTGTTAAGTCCATCTGTTCTAGTGTGTTGTTCAGTGCATCTGTGTCCTTACTTATTTTCTGTCTGGTGTATCTATCTTTTGGAGTGAGTGGTGTGTTGAAGTCTCCTTGAACGAATGCATTGCTTTCTACTTCCTCCTTTAATTCTGTTAGTATTTGTTTCACATATGTTGGTGCTCCTGTACTGGGTGCATATATATTTATAATGGTTATATCCTCTTGTTGGGCTGAGCCTTTTATCATTATGTAATGTCCTTCTTTTTCTCTTGTTATTTTCATTGTTTTGAAGTCTATTTTGTCTGATACCAGTACTGCTACACCTGCTTTTTTCTCCCTATTGTTTGCATGAAACATCTTTTTCCATCCCTTCACTTTTACTCTGTGTATATGTCTTTGGGTTTGAGGTGAGTCTCTTGTAAACAGCATATGGATGGGTCTTGCTTTTTTTATCCATTCTGTTACTCTGTGTCTTTTGATTGGTGCATTCAGTTCATTTACATTTACAGTGATTATTGAAAGATATGTACTTATTGCCATTGCAGGCTTTAGATTCATGGTTACCAAAGTTTCAAGGGTAGCTTCTTTACTATCTGTCTAACTTAACTCACTTATTAAGCTATCATAAGCACAGTCTGATGATTCTTTATTTCTCTCCCTTCTTATTCCTCCTCCTCAATTCTTTATATGTTAGGTGTTTTATTCTGTGTTCTTTTGTGTTTCTTTTGACTGCTTTTGTGAATAGTTGATTTTATTTTTTGCCTTTTTTATTATTTGGTTGGCCTGCTTTCTTTGCTGTGATTTCATTTTCTCTGGTTACATCTATTTAGCCTTAGGAATGATTCCATCTAGAGCATTCCCTTTAAAATATCCTGTAAAGGTGGTTTGTGGGAGGCAAATTCCCTCAATTTCTGTTTGTCTGGGAATTGTTTAATCCCTCCTTCATATTTATATGATAATTGTGCTGGATACAGTATTCTTGGTTCAAGGCCCTTCTGTTTCATTGCATTAAATATATCATGTCATTCTCTTCTGGCCTGAAAGGTTTCTGTTGAGAAGTCTGATGATAGCCTGATGGATTTTTCTCTCTCTGGCTGCCTTTAATACTCTGTCCTTATCTTTGATCTTTGCCATTTTAATTATTATATGCTTTGGTGTTGTCCTCCTTGGTTCCTTGTGTTGGGAGATCTGTGGACTTCCATGTTCTGAGAGACTATTTCCTCCCCCAGTTTGGGGAAGTTTTCAGCAATTATTTCTTCAAAGGCACTTTCTATCTCTTTGTCTCTCTCCTTCTTCTCATACACCTATAATGCAAGTACTGTTCCGTTTGGATTAGTCATACAATTCTCTTAATATTCTTTCATTCCTGGAGATATCCTTTTATATCTCTCTGCCTCAGCTTCTCTGTATTCCTGTTCTCTAATATCTATTCCATTAAAAGTCTCTTGCACCTCATCCAGTCTGCTCTTAAGTCCTTCCAGAGACTGTTTTATTTTTGTATTCTGCCTCCCAACTTTATCCTTTATCTCTTGCATATTTCTCTGCAAGTCCATCAGCATGGTTTTGACCTTTATTTTGAATTCTTTTTCAGGAAGATTGGTTAAATTTATCCCCCAGGCCCTCTTTCAGGGGTCATCTTGGTATTTCTGGGCTGGACCAAATTCTTCTGCCTTTTCATAGCGATAGAGGTAGCTGTAGGCAGGTAGCGCATGTGTCAGCTGGGAGAACAATGTCCTTTCCTGTTTGCTGGTCGCCTTGTTCTTCTCCACTTATGTGTCAGTTACCTGCACTCCTGGAGCAGCCTCCAGATTAATCCCCTAAGCTGCCATGGGCGGGGTCACCATAGGGTAGCCCAGAGCCCTGCAGGGACTGGCAGGCGAGCTGGGTGTCCTCTCCTGTGAGAGCGGCGCCCCCTGCCTCTGCTGGGCAACTGCGCCTTGGTGGCAGCCTTTGGGTCTGCCCCAGGTGGCTGCATGCCGGGAGGAGATTCTGGGCAGCTGCTGGGGGTGCGGCCGGCCATGCGCACATGCTGCCTCTCCCCGGCCACTCGACTGCCACCACTGGCTCACACGTCCCCTCAGGCTACTGTACTGCTGTATCGGGGGCTGCACCGCCTGGTGGATTGACTGGCAGGCTGCTTATCGCCGTGAGTGGTTTTAGAGCTGCACTGCCACTCAGAGGGTTAGGGCACCTGGAGTTCCCCTGCTGGGCTGTGTGTGCCAGGACGATTCCATCCAACTGTGAGGTCCCTGTCCCTTTAAGACTTTCAAAGAGCACTCACTTTTCTTTTGTCCCAGGGGAGCCAGTCGCGGGGACCTGCTTGCAGATTTTGCTTTTCTGTTTCTCTAATATCTAGCACACCATGCACTGTGTGTCTGCACTCCCAGTGTGAATTACTAGAGCTGGTTGTTTAGCAGTCCTGGGCTTTCACTCCCTTCCCACTCTGACTCCTTTCCTCCTGCCAGGGTGCTGGGGTTGGGGGAGCACTCTGGTCCCGCCGGGCTGCAGCTTGTATCTTACCCCCTTCATGAGATGCTGAGTTCTCGCAGATGTAGATGTAGCCTGGCTGTTGTACTATATCCACTGGTCTCTCTTTTAGGAGTAGTTGTGTTTGTTGTATTTTCAAAAATACGTATTGTTTTGGGAAGAGATTTCCGCTGCTCTAGTCATGCTGCCATCTTGGCTCCTCTCTCTGTGAGATTAATTTTTGAAGAATAAAAGAAAAACACCCCAATTGAGAATATATTTGGAAATTACTTATGCAATCATGGGTTAACATCCAAAATATATAAAGAACTCATATGCCTCAACACTCAAAAAAGAAATAACCTGATTAAAACATGGGCAGAGGATCTCAACACTTTCCCAAAGAATAAGTTCAAATGGCCAACAGGTACATGAAAAGATGCTCCACATTGCTAATTATCAGGGAAATGCGAATTAAAACCACAATGAGATATCACCTTACACCAGTGTTGTAAGTTGGCCAACATTCAAAAGACAAGGAACAACGAATACTGGGGAAGATGTGGAGAAAGGGGTACCCTTCTAGACTGGTGGTGGGAATGTAAATTAGTTCAACTATTGTGGAAAGCAATATGGAGGTTCCTCAAAAAAGTAAAAATAGAAATACCATTTGACTCAGTAATTTCACTTCTAGGAATTTACCCAAAGAAAACAAGATCGCTGCTTCAAAAAGACATATGAACCCCTGTGTTTGTCGCAGCATTGTTTACAATAGCCAAGGTACAGAAGCAACTCAAGTGTACATTAGTAGATGAATGGATAAAGAAGAAGTGGTACATATACACAATGGAATATTATTCAGCCATAAGAAGAAAACAAATCCTACCATTTGCAACAACATGGATGGACTAGAGAGTATTATGCTCAGTGAAATAAACCAGATGGAGAAAGACAAATACCAAATGACTTCACCCATTTGTGGAGTATAAAAACAAAGCAAAACTGAAGGAACAAAACTGCAGCAGACTCACAGGCTCCAAGAAGGGGCTAGTGGTTACCAAAGGGAAGGGGTTGGGGAGGGTGGGAGGGGATGGAGGGAGAAGGGGATTAAGGGACACTATGATTTACAGTCATAGTGTAGGTAAATCATGGGGAAGGCAGTACAGCACAGAGAAGACATGTAATGACTATATCATATTACTAGCTGATAGACAGTGACTGCAATGTAGTGGGGTGGGGACTTGATAATGGGGGTGAATGTTGAAACCACAATGTTGTTCATGTGAAACCTTCATAATATTGTATAGTAGTGATACTTTAATTTAAAAAAAAAAGAAAAATACCCCAATCAAAATATGTTCTTTTGAGATTCTATAATATTCATGACTATTCATGTGTAAAAAGAAAAAGCTGGGAATAAAAATGGAACTTATTCTAGTATGTAGTCGAGGCTCAGAGGGTAAAAGCCATCACAGAGTTTAACAAGGGAAAATAACTTCTCCGAGGAAGCATGCTGCACACTAGCATTTTTCCTTCTTAAACCTCAGAAGAATTGTCCCCATGGATGGGTTTCTCTTCTTTAGGGTATTGGAGAAAACAGTTGGATCACATCTCTGCTCACCTCAGGTCTTATGCTCAGAACAACCCTGAATTCCGGGCCTTGATTGCAGAACCCAGGATGGGAAAGGTGGGTGAGCTCTGAATGGAACTCAGAACTCCACTGTGTCCTGTGGGATCAGGCTGAAGTTCCCCTCCATGGGCTCTGCCTGAAATTACACCTTGCTTGGCTCCTCTTCCTTTTCTGTGCTGCTTTCCACACTTCCTTACTCTCCTCCCCTGCAAGCACTGCCTTAGTAAATCGCTTGCATATGAGTCTTGTCCCAGCATCTGCTTTGGGCACCTGACCAAAGACAGTCAATTGTGAACATCTCATGCTTTTCCATGCCACATGTATGGAAATTGTGATGGTCAGAGCTAAAAGACCCCAAATAGTTTAGTCCAGCCAGGTGTGCTTAAATCCTAAACTATATTACCAGCAATTGTAATCCTATGAGTTACCATTTAACAGTGCACTTAATATCTGCATCATACTCAAGTTTAGAGTATTACCTTTCTGGCAATTTTTAAAAAATAGCCACAAATTCTTCGCAAGTGTTCCTTCAAAGGGTAGAGTCTGTCCCCTCTCCTTGAACAGTCTCACCTTGTGGTTGTTGGACTAACAGAATATGGCGATAATGATGCAGTGGGGCCCCCAAGGTGTGTTCATCAAGGCCACGTGACTTCCTCTTGCTTGGAACACTTACTTCCTATACTCCTTGGAGCCCAGCCACCCTGCCCTGCAGCCCAGGCTGAACCTTGTCCTCCAGTCATCCTGGCTCAGGAGCCAGGTAGGTGAGTGATAAGACTGTAGGTCATTCCAGCCCCCAAATGTGGAGCCACCCCTAGGCATTTGAGTCTTCCCAGCTGAGGCCTTTGACATCTGGAGCAAAGATAACTATCCCTGCCATGTCCTGTTGAGATGCATGAATGTAATAAAGTGGTTGCTGTTTAGAGCCCCCGAGTTTTGGGTATTGTTTCACATTTCAGTAGATTATAAGAACAAGCCATATTTGATACCCAGAAAAACTGGCTTAAAGAGGTTTGGAGACCTGCCCAGGACTGCACTGGCAGTCTTGGGAATCAGGATTTGAAGCAGGTATGTCAGGCCCTGCGCCCCTAGCCCTTTCTCTGGTACTACACCACCATTCTAAATAGACTCCTCAGTGAGAAGACCTCTTCCTCTTTTTGCCATGAGACTAGAAGGAACCTTTAAAAATCATCCTGAGCACTCCCCTGCCACCAAGTAAGCAAACATTTAAACTCCTTTATTGTCAGCTTCTCAGTTTCCTTTGGTAATCTATTTTTGTGGTTTATTAATTCATTGGCCTAATCCAGGGGCCTGCAAACTATGGCCTTTGGGGCAAATCCAGCCTGCCACCCAGTTTTGTAAATCATTTTATTGGATGACAGCTGCACTCACTAAAATCGGTATCTTCTTTTGTGCTATGATGACAATGGCAATATGGCCCCCAAATCCTGAAATCTTATTATCTGATCCTTAAAGCATTTGCTAACTCCTGGTTGATGTAATTCTCTGACTACTTACAGAGAAAGCTGCTCAACTATGATCTTGGCTCTTGATTGGCAAGGCCTGGTCCCCCAGGATACCTTTTCCCGGGTGATGACATCAAGCCGTGGGGCTTGATTAAACATAAAGTGTGTCTCTTGTAAAGAATATAAATCTGGGGCTTGCTTTCTTATCTAGTAGGTCAGTCTCTGTTCTCTGATGGGAGTGTTAACTTAGTTCACTTATAATTAATGGCATTATAGATATGGCTGGATCTGTGTTGGCCATTTTGCTAGTTGTGTTCTGTCTCATCTAGTATTTGTTCCTCTGTTTTTCTTTTCCTGCCTTCTTTTGTATTATTAAATATTTGATTAATTTTACAGTTTAACATCTCAGAATTTCTTGGCTGTTGCTCAGGACAATGAGTCCTATTCTCATGGTTGTGAATTCTCTCTAATACTTTTTTAAAAGCTTATCTCTGCTACTGTCCATGAAGATGGATATGAAGTTAGCATCAGGCTGAATTATATTCAAGTCTCAAGTAAGGTGAGTAAAACCCTCAGAAGTTATTTATCTGAGAATTGACTGAACCAGTAAATTGTAGCTCACACCTTATTAGAAATGCTTCTGTGAGATCCTTAGAAAGGAAAAGTTTCAATTATTGTAAAACTGACTGCAGGCCAGTAATTTCATAGAATTGGCTAAATAACTGTGCTAAACCTCAAAGAAGCCAGTGTTCAGGCACATAAAGATGTAGTAAGAGCAGGAATTATCACCTCCGCTATTGGTCCCATAGTTTTCAGGCTTACTTATATCCACTGAAGTCTGTGTATAGGCAAAAGACTGACAAAAATGTTTGCCAATATGTACATTGATCTATTTGCCTATAAAAAAATAAACCAAACTTTCTGTTCCTATCTCCCTTGATCTGCCCTCTTATATGGTGAGTGGAGCATTGCCACCAAGCCTGTAAGAGTGTGATATACATTAATCAATATTGGCAGCTCAGTTTCACTGGACACAAAGTCAGAATATATGGAAGAACAATTAATGGACTGAGAAAATGGGTAAAGAAAAAGGAAGAGAAGCAAACTAGCCCTTATTAGGCCCCAGCCTCGTGCCTGGCAGGGTGGTAACGGTCTTTAAAATCAGGGTAGGTACATGGGCCCTGCCTAACACAAAGGGCAGCTGGGGCTATCCAGTGGGCTAATGCACATGAAAATGCCTTGAAATCATGTGAAGCACTAAGTGCCCTGGTTCTGGTTGTGTGGCTGGTGCAGAGCTTGGGTGGGAGGCACTTCAGGAGGAGGGGAGTGAGGGACGAGGCAGCGGAGGGCTGAGTGGACAGGTGGTCACAAGTAAAGCCTAGCTTGACCTGATCCACAAGGAGCCCTGGGGTGTGAATGACACTGCAAAGTTGTCCCCAGTTGAGGCATGGGGAGGCAGGGCATAGCCTCTGGGCAAGGCAGTGACCATCTGCTGAGGGCAGTTGGCTGGCCAAGCTGTGGGCTGTTTAGCAGCCAACCCATAGGCCAGAAGGGGACCTTTGGTTAAGGGGAAATGGGTGGTCACCAGAGCATCTACACCGTGCTGTCTATTAAGAAGTGGAGTAGTTAGCCCCAAGTCTAATATGTGTTTTTTCTTAGCCCGTGTGTTCTAGCAGTCAGGAGAGCAGGTGGCTCCCCATGGAGAAACAGGCAGCCACGTGAGGGTAGCATAGGCTGCCATGGGCAGAATCGGTCCAGCTGGATAAAGAATTCCAGGCTGGGCCTATGAGTCATTTACGCTTATTTTACAGACCTCCATTTACCTTATTGTGCTTTCACAGCATCCCTTTGAGGTGGGCCATTATATTTCCACTTTATAGGTGAGAAAATTGGGGCTCCAATAAGTTAAGCAACTTGCTTCTTCCAAGGTCCCCAAGCTAGTGATAGAAATAGGATTTAAACTCTGCAGACTGAGCCTCCCCATCATGCCACCCTTATTCTAAGACATGGGAGGTCTTTAAGCAAGGGAAAGACACAGTTACTTATAAACTGTTTGAAGGCAACTGGGGAGGCCACACAGAAGGTGGGCTGGCAGGAACGTGGTAGGAGGCTGATGTAGTGACCCTGGTGTGAGAGGAGGGGACTGTGGCTGTAGTGACTGAGAGGACAGGCCAGACTGAGGGGCTGTTAGGAGGGGAAGGGAGGAAGTGTCCAGGTCTCAGGCTTGCCTGTGAAGATTAATGAAATTCTGCAGTGAAATCATTCTTTCTGTTGGTGCTTGAATTTTTCCATTGGCCAGAACACTTACCTCAACAAGGCAGTGAATTTCAATGACCACTTCCTGAGCAGTGTCACCGAGGGTGGTAATGGGCTGTCCGGCAGCAGGTCCAGCTTGGGTGAGTTTTATCCTCCCAGTGATTTTGAAACAGTTGACCAGGAACACACTCACTTGGCAAGGATGCCCAAGAATTGTCTAAAATTTACCAGCCTGACGGTGCATTTACTTTCATGTTCTAGCTATTTTATTCTTCTGACTTCCCTGAAGGGGTGAGACTGTTGAGGTCTTTCACAGAGCTTGGGGAGATAAACTTGGAGGTGGTGGTGGTGCTCTTTTGGGACCTAAAAGCTGTAGTCCCTTTTATTCCCCTCCTTCCCATGCCTCCTCTTGTCCTGGGCTGGGAAGAGTGGCTCCGGGAGTCCTTCTTGCCAGGTTCAATCAAACAGAATGTCTGTAAAAGCCATTTTGTCCTTCTGACCTCAAGGAGCATGGTGGTAGAGTAGCTGTTTACATGGGAAGTGGCAGGGGCATCAGTTTGGACTCTTTTGTCATTTCAGTGAGTGACTATAGCCAGAGCACCCCAGATACCACTAAAAAAGTCAAGCGGACAAAGACTTTCAAGACCAAAAAATTTCAAGAAAAGGAGGAGACGCTTACAGTATGTGTACTCCTTGATCCATACAGCTGTCTTCTTTTCATTTTCTATTCCCTTTTTAAAAAATAATGGTATATTTTTTATTTTGTAGTACCTTTTAAAATATCTCAAGATTATTATTCAGAATTATTTTTGAGTTCCCATCATATTCCTGAATCACTTCTCTTTCCTCTGGGGTCTATTCTGTCTGCCCATCCTTTTCTTTCCTGTTTTTGGTTCGTGATCTGTTAGCCATGTGATGATCCTTGGTCCTCAGTCATGTGGACAAGTGAAGGGCTAGTTTGATTAGCACCAGCACTAGCCTGGGTGCCCAGCATGGTGTGTGGGCCCGAGGTCCCTGTTGGGGTGGCGGGCATGCTGTGGCAGACTTCCCTGAGGGTGTGTGGGCAGGGAGGGCAGGAGAAAGTCTCAGGATCCCCTGAGTGGCCTTTCCATTGGTGAGGGTGGTGCTGTGAAGTGCTCCGGTGTTTCACTCCTGCATGGGGCTGTCTTTCCTTCCTCCCTTCCAACACTTCCCTGTGTCTTTTTTTAGAAACATTCATAATAAAACAATTGTGAGGTTTCTGTTTTTTTGCGAAGTTTCTCATTGCATCCCTATACTTAATTTAACACAGTGTCAGTATGGTATCCTTCCCCATGGCAAGGTTTCAGAACCAACAAGATTTACATTAGACATGCTTTTTTGTGTTGCTGCCTGTTGCAGACCACCCCTCACCCCCCACACACATACATGCTCACGCTTACATCCCTGGGGCTCAAAACTTAACCCTGGAGAGAAGCGTTTGCCTTGAGGGTTGAGCCTGGGCAAGTGGGACAAGACAGTAAAAATATTCTGTGGCGGTGGAAATGACCCCATTGTGTAATCCTGTAGCCTGAGAACAGGCTCCTGCTGAGGGAGGTCGGAGCCACAGGGGAAGGAAGAGTTTCTGTGATGGAGCAGCTGCTCGATGACGTAAGTGCACCCAGACACAGCTCTCTCAGGGTTCCTGCCCGGCTGCCTGACTCTCTCTCCTTCCCGTGGAAGTTTTGTTCAATACTGTCATAATTATAGTGCTGTTTAAAAACTGTCTAGAAATGAAGTAAATGGCTAGTCAAAAATTTTACATTGTTATCTGTTGCTAGTTTTTATAGCAAAGAAAATGGGCAGAGGAGTGCACATGAGCCCAAATCACGTTCATGAAGGTGGATGGGATTCCTGGTCCATGATCCCATGGGACTCATGTTTCCTCAAGAAGCAAACCTGTCTGGGTACCTGCTCCTCCTGATTTGGGTGCAGGGCTCTTATCCCCTGGGTGACTTGACACCTCTGTCTGTCATAGGCTGGGTCTTTGGGTTCCTGATCCCCTTCTGATTTTGAGCAGTTTATTTCTGTCAAGGATGTTGGTTACACTTATTAGGATGGCATTTTGATGTTGTTGAGTGCAGGGTTTTGTGGCAAGTTTGTCCTTTTCTCTCTCTCTGTGCTGCAGGGAGCAGATCCCAACTGCAGTGATAATAAGGACCAACCCCTTATAACCATGGCTGTTGTGAATAAGCACCATGAAGCAATTCCAGTTCTTGTGCAGAGAGGAGCAGACATCGACCAACAGTGGGGACCGTAAGTGAAACACAGTGAGAAGAGAGTTCTGGTATGATGCGGTAGCTCCTAGTGCCTCATGGGGCTCTTCTGCAGCACAATTAATCCATGTGTGTGCCCTGTTCCATTTGAACTGTTTAAGAACCATCTTAACCCATTTTGGCCTTAATAAGAGACTTAACTGCTTCTGTTTTCCATATCCAGGTGAAACAAAACATTTTAAATGCACTACTGGACTGCCTGATTTTTAGTAGCCTATATAAGTGATGAAACATTTTATTAACTATTGACGTTATGCTGTTGCAGGACCAGCAAATCATTAGCCTTGGCGGTTAAGCCATATTTTCATCATGATCTGAACTGTAAGATCCACAAAAGAAGCATTACTGCAGAAAGAAACCCTTATGCCATTTTCTCTGGATGCTAGCACCACTGGGGAGGAGTGGGGCCCATATGAATTCACAGTCACCTGGTGCCTTCGTTCTCCTAGCTGTGAAGCAGGAGGGAGTCACATCAAATTATGCTGGACAGCTTTGTTACTTTCCTAGGCTTAGTCCAGACCTTCCCCTTGACCTCTCCCAGCCTTGTGAGTCTAGTGTTCTCTTGCAAATTACTTTGGAAACCTGGGGTAGAAAGTTCCCTAAGTATAGATCCTTCATGTTAACTGCTTATATCCTGCAGACCAAGTTGTTGAATCTAGGGATATGGCAAGTATCTAACACTACTGCCTCCTGAATCATTGCTAAGCCCAGGTCAGGGCTCAGGTCAGTGAATCGTGCCGCTGAGTATGTCAAGCCAGCACAGGGAACAGAAGTTAAATAACTTTGCTTCTGTTTTTCTCTGTTTCAAAATTCCCTCTAGTGTTTTTTGTTTTTTGGTATCATCAATCTACAATTACATGAAGAACATTATGTTTACTAGGCTCCCCCCTTCACCAAGTCCCCACCACAAACCCCATTACAGTCACTGTCCATCCATGTAGTAAGATGCTGCAGAATCCCTACTCATCTTCTCTGTGTTGTACAGCCCTCCCCATGCCCCACCCCCCACATTACACATGCTAATCGTAAGGCCCCCTTTCTTTCCCCCCGCCCTTATCCCTCCCTTCCCACCCATCCTCTTCAGTCCCTTTCCCTTTGGTAACTGTTAGTCCATTCTTGGGTTCTGTGATTCTGCTGTTGTTTTGTTCCTT